TAAAGAAGAACCTTTAAAGAGAATCTGATTTAATCCACACACACACGCGTCCCGCTCATGTGATAAAAACGGTGCGCTTCTGCAGCTTTCAGATAATGACTGTGGATTGTCGACCACCGCTGAGCGTTTGATGTATCAGGAGGAATCTAAAAATGAACTTCAAAGATGCAGGATATTTCCACAACATTTTCCATTTACCTCTATGAATGATGCTAGACTGTTTTCCAGACGTTTTTTTTTTATAACCAGAAAACTAAATTAGCTAAATTTTTCTGGTAAGGTCTGTTATACTGAGAGAAAACTAACAGCTAGCAATTTCATTCATCTCTATAGCTGATGGCCTTTTTGTATGTAAAGTTTTTATAATTAACAGAAGAACATTACATTTGTTCTAAATTTAAAATATAATGTTATCATTTAGAGATGTAATTTCATAAAATGTGCCACGTTTTCAGGTATTTCTATTCATTTTTTTAGACATGCGAATAAAACATAATATATTATATCTATATTTGGAGGAATTCCTCAAGACTTGATGCTCTAAATGACAATGTTTTCTTTTATTTAAAGTTAAATAAAAAAGTTTAAAATAAGTGTCAATTGATCAAACCTATATAAAATCAAAATTAATATTAATATTTACTCAAACCTATACCTAGTAAATCCAAAGAAACTTGTGGTCTCTTTATATTTTGTATAGCTAACAACATTTTTGTGTTGCAAAAAACAACAGTGTCAATGTTCACAGATTAAGTAAGAAATAATGAACTCCATTTAATTATAAGAAGGTATAACAGCATCACCAGCTCAGGTGTGAAACATTTTCGAATAATTCAATAAATCAAAGTCAATTATTAAACCGTAGCTTGTTCTATGGAGAACACATCTAAATACATTATTCATATGTTGTTATATTTCATATGTATATCTCAAACAACTCCTGAGTGTGGGACTAGTTGCTCACGCATCTCATCTAATCTACTTTTACAAAATGCATTTCCTACAAAATTTAACTAAAGCTATTGATAAATTTGTATAAATAATTATTTTATCTGACTATTTCATGATATAATGCACAATTGCATTTGCATTCTTATCAGTAGGCACAGACGCTATTTGGCAGCAGAATGGCTTTTTTTAACTAGCCCATTGTCTGTTTCAATAGCAATATGTCCAATGTACAATGTAAAAAACACATTGTAAACACAGTAAGTAGTAGTAAAAAAAACATCGTAAAACACAGTTAGTAAAAAACAAGCAAACATCGTGAACAGTGAATAGTAGTAAAAAACATCGTAAACACAGTAGGTAGTTGTAAAAAAAATCATAAAACACAATTAGTAGTAAAAAAACCTCGTAAACATTAAATAGTTGTAAAAAAAAACATCGTAAACAGAGTAAGTAGTAGTAAAAAGACATCGCAAAACACAGTTGCAAAAAAACATCATAAACAGTAAATAGTGGTACATCGTAAACTCAGTTAGTAGCAAAATAAATCTTAAACAGTAAGTAGTTGTAGTAAAAAAACAATAAGTAGTTGTAGTAGTACTAAAACAACATTATAATCAGTAAATAGTAGTAAAAACACATTGTAAACAGTAAATAGTAACACAATATTAAAAAACACAATACAGTAAGTAGTAGTTGAAAAAACGGTAAATAGTAGTAGTAGCAGTAGAAGTAAAAAAACATTGTAAACACAGTAAATAGTAATAAAATATTGTAAACAATTAGTAGTAAAAAAAACATCATAAACACCGTAAATAGTAGTAAAAAACATTGCAAACAGTAAATAGTAGTAAAAAAACATCGCAAACAGTAAATAGTAGTAAAAACTGCAAACAGTAAAAAGTTGTAAAAAAACATTGCAAACAGTAAATTGTAGTAAAAAACATCGTAAACATAGTAAATAGTAGTAAAAAAATTGTAATCTGTAAATAGTAAAAAACATTGTAAACAGTTAGTAGTAAATCACCGTAAACAGTAAATAGTAGTAAAAAACACAGTTAATAATAGTAAAAAATGGTAAACAGTAGTAGTAGTAAAAAAAACATTGTAAACACATTAAATAGTTGTAAAACAAACAATGTAAACAGTAATTAGTAATAAAAAAATTACAAACAGTAGTAGTTGTAAAAAAAACATTGTAAACACAGTAAATAGCAGTAAAAATATTGTAAACCATAAATAGTAGTAAAAAAACACAAACACAGTAAATAGTAGTAAAAAAACATTGTAAACAGTAGATAGTTGTAAAAAAAACATTGTATACACAGTAGATAGTAGTAAAAAACACTGTAAAAAGTAGATAGTAGTAAAAAAAACTTCATAAACAGTAAATAGTAGTAAAAAAACATTTTAAACAATAAATAGTAGTAAAAAAACATCGTAAACAGTAGATAGTAGTAAAAACATTGTAAACAGTTCACAGTAGTAAAAAACATCGGAAACAGTAAATTAGTAGTAAAAAACATTGTAAAGAGTAAATAGTAGTAAAAAAACATTAAAACAGTAAATAGTAGTAAAAAACATTGTAAACAAAGTAAATAGCTGTAGAAAGCATTGTAAACACAGTAAATAAATCATAAAACAGTTAGTAGTAAAGAAATTGTAAAACACAGTTAGAAGTGAAAAGCATCGTAGTGTAAATAGTAAAAAACATAAACAGTAAATTCTCTCTCACTCTCTCTCTCTCTCTCTCTCTCTCTCTCTCTCTCTCTCTCTCTCTCTCTCTCTCTTTCTCTCAAACCTATCTGTTTGCTGACCTGCATGCAGTATATGTCATGTTAACCTTTCTCCTGAATTTTGTCATTTCAGCTCCTGGGAATGGCCTTTTCCATGACACTGTTCCATCAGATCCACAGAAGCGGGAAAAAGTATGACGCCTAACGAGGCCGTTTCTCAAGGGAGGAGCCCTGGTGCATTATGGGACAAACTGTGGAGAACTCTTCCTCCCCTTGTATCTAACTCTCCCCACCGGCCAACCCAACTCGGCCAACTCTTCCCATTAATTCCCAAGCTTAAACCATCCTGTATAGACTTCAGTCAAGGGCCGTCTCCAGTCCGCTCTTTCTCCCTGCCAAAGACAGAAAAGAGCGGCTCTTTCGGCCATCATCCTCCCCTGTGAGGCTTCTGACTTGCTTCATCTCCTCTAAAACCTTTATTTTGTGCTTGAACTAACTAACGACTGCAGGATGGAGAATAATGACGACAAACTGCGTGACTTTTACTAATACCGTAAATCTTTCCACCCAGAGCGAAGACATCAGACTGGAGACTTTTTTGAAAAAGCTTATCTTCATCTCCATCGATGGTGTAAATGACAAACAGCTCCACTTTAGCATGACGCGGTTTTGTACGAGACGGAAAACGTTGTCATTTTGGCTTAAGACTCTTTTTGTTTGTTTCTTTGTTTGTTTTTATAATGAAATTGTCCCCATGATCGTCATTTCTGTGCACCTATGGACTGAAGAAAGCCGGTATAAGAGTGTGTGAGGTATGACCAGGAATCTAGGTTTGTCAGTGTGTGTTGAAACTCGAGCATCTTGTTATGTTTATAGAGTTATGATTTGAGGATGCATCAAAAAGCGTTGACAGTTTTATTATGTTGAGAACCATCAGTAATGATGTACGTCAGTATGATACATCAAACATGGAGCGTCTGATTTGCTAGCTTTTCCTCTCGTGTAAAAATCACCCATACTAAAAGCTCATTTTGGCCGAACTGCTGCTGAAACAGTAGCGTAGTCCAGTATTTCTCAACCACGTTCCTGGAGGACCACCAGCTCTGCACATTTTCAATAGATGCGTCCCAAATCACATGCTTATGCACTATTTTGCGCCATTTTTTTGTATAAAACGAATAGTACTCTAAAAGTGTGTAATGTTGGACACTTCACGCACTCAATGGCCACGGCTTTGCCCACGTAGCGGAAGAGGTGGAACTTTTGGGCCCAGACGTTGGATTATTTTATTTATTTTGGATTGCGAAAGCTAAATTACCTTACGATGGGGATTGTAACACCTCCCGATGGTGAATGCAGTTATACTCATCACAGGTGTTATTTGGTAGTTTGGACATTTTGGCTCTGTTTACACTGCCAGTTAAATGTGACCCAATTCCGATTTTTTGCTTATATGTGACAGATCGGATCTGTTCTATGACCGTAAAAAAAAACATGAAAAAAACCCATGGATTCGGATATTCAGAGATCAGTTTCAGGCCTCCTTCATATGTGGAAATAAATCAGATATAAATCGGAAATGCGACTGTCATGTAAACAGGCAGATCGGATTTATTGAGGCATTCCATGTTATTAAACTTGCAACAATGTGGTGCTTGTCCGTGGTTTAATGACACAGAAGAAAGAGCATGTGTGGAGACGCCAACGTGGTAAACAACAACAGAGGAAACACGGATGAGGTAAGAATTTATTCGCCACAATTTGCTTCCACCAGACCTGAGACCTCTCTCGTACCCACAAATTCCTCTGAATGGTGGAGGACACCATATAGTCGGTGCTAGCAGTGATGACGGCCCTTTCTAACCTCCGCTCATTTTAAAGTTGGGTGAACTTCGTGTTGTAACTTTTGCTTTTTATCGATATTAATACATGCACTGCGGGCTACATGCAGAACAACTTTATTCTCTCTAACACCAGTGCGCACAAAGGCAAAGGCTACATCTTCAACTACACACAGACATCATGGCTATACCATTGCATAAACTACGTGGGGGTAAATCTGGACTGAACCATTCACTGCTTAAACTACACTTCGCATATTTCGCAGAGTGAATAACAAGACAATTTCTTCCATCGTGGCTAGCGTGGCACAGATGCTAGAACCCGCTTTTAAGCATGCGCAACATCGTAAATGGTATGGCAAGTGTAAACACATGAATTGGATATGGGTCACAATTAAAACGTGTAAACGGACAGGCAAAAAAAAAAAAAACAGATATAGGAAATCAAATCAGAATTGGGCATCAAAGCCTGACAGTGTAAACGGGGCCTTATTTCACTAATTTGGCAATCGACAAACATCATCGGGGAAACAGTTTGAATTTCCATTTTGTTAAACACTATATGTATTATGTGCTATATGTGCTGTTGAGTGTGTAAGTGCACAAGTACGTAGTGAATAAGAGCAGAGTGTATAGTGGGGGTTGCAGCTAGTGTCTCCTTAACCAAACACACCTGATTCAGATCATCGGCTCATTAGCAGAGACTGAAAGAATTGTAATGGGTGTGACAGACAAAGGAGACATCCAAAACATGCAGTGTTGTTGGTCCTCCAAGAACGTGGTTGAGAAACATATTTAAAAAACACTGGTATAGACAATGAAGGGCAGTTTTTTTTTTATAAAGACATCAATGGTAATAGGTTACCAAAAAAGTAATTAACTAATGAAACATTATTTAAAGTGTGACCTTTTAACAGCATCTTAATCCAAAACTTGCAACATCTGAATGCAAAACTTTTTAAAAACGCAGAGGGCAACATTTCCTTTCTTAGTAAGTCTTTATCATGTTGACATACCCTTAAAGAATTTAACGAACAATGAAAATTCAGGCTCATACTTCTCTTCATGATTTCTAAACCTAACTTTCTTTACTCAAATGAATACCAAAGCATATTTTGCAGCTCATAACAAAAGGAGACCAGATGCTTTAAAATTCTAGAAAGAAACAAGACTATCCTACACTACACTCTTACAGTAATTGTCATGTTGGGAGAAGTGATACCATAGAAAAACCATATTGGCTTCTCAAAATAGCCTTTTCATGAGCAGCTTTTAGAACAAACACCAAGGATCATTACATAAGGGATACTCTAAATCTACATCCAATTGTTCCTGCAGAATAAATCCTGACAGATAAAGACTGAAGGTGCTTTATTCTGCAAAAACAACTAACTAGATTACTAGATACTAGTACTCTGCTTATTACATGATTATTTTCAGACACAAAACATTGGTTTGTAATAATTTATAATAATTTAATAATTCAAGTTTTTAATTAGGCGTAAAACTTGCAGGAAAAAAAAACATACATTGAAATGCTGTGATTGACCAATCAGAATCAGAAAGAGATCTGGTTGCCAGTAAAGAACTTTCTTTTTTTCTTGAAGAGTTGACTGGAATGATCTTTGGTCCTTGAGAGTCTCATTACTGAATGCGACGCAGACTTTTAACATTTATATATGTGATGCCAAGGAGGGCAAGAGGGATTTAAACACGGCAAATTATAGAACTTAATGATTGATGGGCGTTTTATTTGTGCAGAAATGTTCTGACCTTTCTGACGAGTTCTGTGGGCGCGTATTACACACAGCAGAGATAATGACTTAAATTGTTGATCTGTTCTCCTTTTGTGCCCCGCGGAAGATAATCGCAGGCTGCAGAGTGACATGAAGCCATAGAAATCTATAGAGATTTTATTTTTGAATGAATGCTATTTTATTTAATGTAGGAAGTCCTCGAGAGAGAACTGTGAACGTTTTAACACAGGCTCATTTGAATATGTGCTTCAGCCGACATTTTTGGGAAGCTGTACAAATGTACTTCAGCATATGTTTGACTGCATTTTGTTAGTAACTTTATAGGGCAGTATGGCACCAACAAATTTTTACGCTAGTTATAATTACATTATTGACAAATAAAACATTATTTTCACACAGTTCTTTGCACAACACCAAATAAAAATCACAAAACAACGTAACGTTTATAATGTATAATCGAATACATTTACCTCATCCATCAATCTCCATATGGATTTAATTTTTTTTTTTTTTCTGGTTTGGTCAGTTCGCTTGGTAGCTCACCTTGTAATGCATTGTACTTTGATTCAAGTTCATTGAAGCACAGTTCCACACAAAAGTTCAAGTTCTCATTAAAAGAAATCCTATTGAAGAAGCACTTTTCTCGTTTCTCGTTAAACACTATTGGTTGGGTTTAGGTCATTGCACAAGAAGTCCCATATTTGCCGCCAGTTAAATTACGAAGTGGCAATTTTGTTCTCTTTGACTCATTGGATAGAAACGGGGCTTTATTAGCACGTGTTTTATGCAATATTCCAGTTTTGCGTATAAATTTAATTTACGTCTTTGGATGGAAACAAAGCTAATGACACATTTAGGAGATTTAAAATGTGCACAGTTTTTAAAAATGATACAATTATTTTACCCATTCATTCATTCATTCATTCATTTTCCTTCAGCTTATTCCCTTTATTTACCTAGGGTCGCCATAGATTAATTAAATTAACTGACAACTCATCCAGCATTTGTTTTACGCAGCAGATGCCCTTCTGCAACCCATTACTGGAAAACACCCATGGACTCTTGCATTCACACACATACACTATGACCAATTTAGCTTATTCAATGCACCAATATCACATAAATCTGGACTATTTTTATGATTGTGTACCAGAAGAACATGTATCTGACGCATTTTTTTAAAAAATGTTAATGTATTCAAATTTGCAAAAAAAAAAAGTAGACAGCGCGTAAACATGTTATCTGATATGTACCCAACACAGACTCATTGTGGATACGTACCCCTGTCTGCATTTCTGAAAAGCGCAAATTATGTAGATAGAGGTAAAACAAACACTAGGGGGCGATATGATGCCGCCGACGGCTTCTTTTTGTGCTACTAGCTGACTGCTCACCTTTGTATGGATGGCTTTTCTGGTGTTACTAGATTGCCCAGTAGCTCGCCGCATATGTATGCAGACGTGGTGCAGTTTAATCGTTAAAAGAAACGCTTTTGAAGAAGCACTTTTCTCGTTACTCGTCAAACACTATTGGTTGGGTTTAGGTCATTGCACGTCAAGTCCCATATTCTCATGGACATTTTACTATTTGGTGCAAGTTAAATTAGAAAGTAACGATTTTGTTCTCTCTGACTCACTGGATGGAAACACTGCTTTATTTGCACGTGTTTTACTCGATTTTCCATTTTATTGCATAAATTTAATTCACATATTTCGATGGAAACATAGCTAATGACACATTTCTGAGATCTAAAATGTGCATTTTTAAAAATGATTAATTAATTAATTCATTCATTCATTCATTTTCCTTTGGCTTAGTTCCTTTATTTATCAAGGGTCGCCACAGCAAAATAAACCGCCAACTGTTTTACGCAGCAGGTGCAACCCATTACTGGAAAACACCCATACACTCTCATTCACACACATGCACTTCACATGTATTTGGACTGTTTTCGTGGACGTGTACATGAATAATATGTCTCTGATGCATATTTTAGGAAATTTTAGGAAGAATTAACTGCAATAATTCTTGTCCATAGAAATGTAGACAGAGGTACGTATCAACAATCGGCCTGGGTTAAATGTGCCCAAAGCAACATATTTTCATTTTTACAAAAAAAAAATTCCAATGAGCCTGGATTAGAACATTGTCATTACTGCTTCATTGCGCAATATAAAATAAGTTTACAGTACAATACAATCCCAGTTGTAGAGCTAGTTAGTAGACTTTAATCCACCAGCAATAATTCATCTCAAGAAAGCGCATCTGCAGTGTTTCTGTTTCCGCACGCCTCAGCTTTTATGCCCTGTGCTATTTTTTCTGTCTTTCTCTGCTCTTTTCTGTCTCTCCATCTGTCTTTTAGTTTCAAGCATCAGGGATGGAGCGCTTACATTCCTGCTGAATGAAGTGATAATGCTTCGGTATCACACGGCCTAAAGGGACTCAGTTCAGAGGAAATGCATCTTGACGGTGACGTTCGGAAGTGAAAGTGTGTTTACCAGCAGATGGTTTTCATGGGTTTAAATCACTGAGCGGTAGATGATGGCTGAGAGTGGGGTCACCGGATGGTCTCCAATCCAGTCCGTCACCGAGACCACTCGTCATCCTTTAAGAGCCCGAACATCGTTTATGTGTGACCGAGAGGGACATAATAGAGCACTCGAGATGGAGAGAAAAATAATAACACTTCTCTGCCCTTCAACACACTCGCTGACACAAACTTTGTTTACTGTGGTTTCCAGAAATTGATTCAGATTAAGAAACAGTTGGGACCAGAAGTGACGGCTACTTCTGACATTCATCCTTAGATGAAATGGAGGGGAAAGAAAGCAACTCTGGATGAGTGTAGGAACTCTGTCACTGTACTGTGCTAAAAGAGTCACCTGTGTTTATTTTGTTTTGAAGGAGGTTGATGATTGAGACGCTTCCAACTTCATTCACTTTTCAAAGTGAACATGAAGCCAAAAATTGACACCATTTATTTTTTTTCTCTCTATTCTTCTTTCTTTTTTTTTGCATATTCTTTTTATGACTATGACAAAAAAGGGCATAGTTCTCCCAAATATTCTGTCAACATTTACTCACCTTTTACTCGTTCCAAACTAGTTTGGGTTTCAATGATGTCCCTAGTAAGTGTTTGTCCTAGTACGGAGGTCAATAATTACAGTTTTCGATTATTTATATATATTGATATTTTGTGCTAAACAGAAAAAAAATTATTTGGAATAAGCAAAAGGTGAGAAAATGATAGCAGAATTTTCATTTTTGTCTAAACTATCCGTTTAAGAGACCACTTGAAAATACTAATTTTCTCTAGATTGATTGGGTATGAGTTAGAGAATAATATTAATATTTGTTTTTATCATATAAAGGTTTCATACTGTAATATTTCTCCCAAATTCCAAATAAAAATATTGTAATTTAGATTAGTTTCGCAGCCATTGCTAAATCATAGTAACTGTTAAACCAGTTATTTCATTTGGTCATTTAGGGAGCACTGTCGGGATACAATATGGCAAAATTCACCTATACAAATATACCATATGGGCAGAAATATAGTCCCAACCTGCATTTGTTTTAGTCAATAAACTCTTAATCAAGAGTCTCTCATGGTTGGCCGAAAACATTTCCTATTTGCTCGCACTCAAGAAATTTTTTCATTTGATGAATACAAAACAAGATATTTAGACAAATTTAGAGGAAATGCAAACAACCATTGACATTCATAATAGAAAACCAAAAATAATATGGAAGTTGACTATAACAATTTACACCATTTACGTTTTTTTCTCTCTGTTCTTCTTCATTTTTGAGTGAACTATGCCTTTAAGAGACCACTTGAAAATATAAATTTTCTCTGGATTAATTGGGTATGGGTTTTAGAATAATATTAATATTTGTTGTTTTCATATAAAAGTCTCAAACTATAACATTTCTCCCAAATTACAAATAAAAAAATTGTAATTCAGAGTACATTCTACTACATAACAGGTTACTATAGTACTATTAACTGAACCCCACCCCTAAACCCAACCGTCATTGGGTGATGAGCAAATCATACTAAATTGCACGAATTAGATTGTACGAATTCATACAAATTGGCCTTTAAATCAAAAAGTTTTGCAGCGGCATTGAGTTGGTTATCAATAGTTTTATGGTTGGCCAAAAAGTGAATATTTTCTCATTCTTAACTCTCACTCAAGAATACCTTTCTTTTGTTGAACACAAAACAAGATGTTTCGAAAAATTTGGATAAAAAAAGAACCACCGACAATCATAATAGAAAGAAAAAAATATATAGAAGCCAGTGGCTGCTTTTAATATTTTCAATTCATCCTTATTTCTAAAGGGATTTTTACAAAATAGATCGTGTCAAAAAAAGCTTACGATGAAAAAGAAGCTGTTATATTTCGAATTTTCCAACATTCCAGTAATTCAGGCAGGCAGGATAGTGCTTCTTCAGTATCTTTCTTTGTGTTCAGCAGATGATAAAACTCAAACCAGAAATAGAAAAAATAAACTCAAACCAGTTTGAAACAGTGGAGGATGAATAAATGATGACAGAATTTTAATTTCTGGATGAACTATCACTTTAAGGGTGTCTAAATTTACAAGGTGTTTATGAAGAAGACTGAAATCTACAGCTTTTTTCAATCAACCCAGCATGTTCACTATTGCTAGCAAACCCAAATAATACAAGAACGTTCTGTAATATGTAAGATTGGCTCCAGTAGGCACACAGTCAACATTATCATCGTGAATGAAAATGTTTTTTGTGTGTGTGTGTGTGTGTGTGTGTGTGTGTGTGTGTGTGTGTGTGTGTGTGTGTGTTGCGCCTGGTGGTCCTGCTTCAAATCCATTTTATCTTCAAGAACACTGTGGAGTTGGTCAATACTAGCTTTGATTAGGTTTGCAGCGATGCGCTCCATCTGTTTGGTGTATCTCTAACCCCAACACGCTAAACTTCAGTGACGTCGTCCAGCTCTCTTATCTGACTGATTTACAAACTTTGGCTGCAAAATTGCATCCTGTGAACTAATCCTTCAAGCTTTCCAAGGTTAGGAATTGTTTGAGTTTGAAAAGATGTCTTGGTCTTTGTTCCAACGTTTTGAGTTTTAAAAGATGACTCTCCTTTGTTATTCTTCTAAACGTATATACTTATGTATATACAATACCGATTTTTTCCCCACACATGTTATAGGCTACGTTGTGTATTAAATCCTGAAATTGTCTGATGTTAAGTTGACACTATAACTTTCAACCAGCAGCAGCTTGACATTAACAATTTTCTTTCTTTTTTCTCTTGTTATTTTGTGGGTTTTTCAATGCATTTGTGTCAAGCTTAATGCATGTAAACATTTCAGTACGGATCATCTCATAAACCGTTGCAAATGTGTTTGACATCTGGGGCATATCTGTTTAATATGCATTGATATTGCTATTTTCTAACTGTCTAAATGTGTCTAAACATCTAAAGGTGCAAGAGAATCTCTAACACAAGGGATTTCATGTCATTTTTTTAGTTCCTATTTTTGTACATCGTTCATTGTTGTAGGTCGTCATTGTTTTTGTATCATATATTTTGTCATTTATCGAATTCAAGGGTGTGCTAAAAATTCATTGATTTTGCATTATAAACCTTTAGTTTTTCTAAATGTGTTTGTTCTCTGCTATTTTTGTTGTTGTCAGATTAGAATTAACTTATGTCGGGTGAACATTATAAACACAGCACATAGATTACGGTTTTTAACTATTTGAAAGAAGATTGTCAGTAAAGTTTATTAATAATGAACTGCCCAATGCTAAATACACAGGTAGCAAAGAATTCTGGCCCAGGTTTGGCATAAATCTGGCACAGCAGGCATTCTTCCGTCACTGGCACACAGCATGATGGCCAAACATGGCCTGGGTTTGGCAGAGGTGGCACTATCTTTGCAGTTTTGACACACCAACATATCTGGCTCAGTTTAGGCACAGTTATGGGTTATTAACTTGGCCAGATATGGTCCATATTTGGCCCTTTGTCTGGAAGCCAGACTTGGTCCAGTCATGTACCGTAATTCACTGCAGCATGTGAGCCAAGCAAAAGCTGATTAAGTGGACCAGAGCTGGGCCAGAGATATTTTGTTATGTGGGTAATCTCCTTATATGTATATTGAAGATGGCACAGATTGAAAAATCCATACCCCCAGAACATCTGAAAGCTTGCACATCCATGC